GCAGGAGGCGGCCACAGTGCAGGGGATTCTCTCAGACAGGGCGTAGACACTGTGACAGGTGATCCTGAAGCTCTCTCAGTGGCAGATGATGTAGTGGGTAGAGGACATCGAGGCGTCCTGCCTGAAGGACCAGGTGAAGTCCTTGCTCGGGCCCTAGACCTCTGTTCTGCTAAGTGAGGAGTGACTGGGGCTGGACTGGGGGAGTCGGGGAGCCAGACTATGAACAGTGAGAACATATTAAAGCCTCCGGGGCAGTGGTTCCCAACCTGGGGGTTGTGACCCCTTTGGAGGGTCACCTCAGACTGTAGGAAAACACAGGTGTTTACATTATGATTCATGACAGTAGCAAAACTAGTCATGAAGTAGCAATGAAAATAATTTTATGGTTGGGGGTCACGGCAACATAAGGGACTGTATTAAAGGGTCCGCAGCATTAGGAAGGTTGGGGACCACTGCCCCAGGGAATTTGGAAGCCCTGAATCCACTGCCCAGAGTAAGCATGATGCATGGTGGCAGGAGGCATTTAGGGCAGAGGAATCCAGCAGAGCTCCTCCTCCACTGCGTCCCCACCCCCATCCCCACCAGTCACACATCACATGCTAGTCACGTGACTCTGGCTTCTAGTGTCAGCCCTTTGCTAAACCAACAATGCACTTCTGAGGAGGTTCACCTCCAGTCTACAAGCTGTGTGCCACCAGTGGGTCCCATAAGATCACCTTACTCTCTACCATTATTGTTCTCATCTACACAGCAAGGGAAATTGAGGGAGGGGGTGGGGATGGGCGGCTAGTTGTGTTCAAGGTCACAGTCTGCAAGTGCTGGCTGGATCCTGTCAAGGCACACACTACAGGGAGCTAATCTCCTGTGCAAAGCTAATTGCTTGCCTCTGCTCTTGTCTCTTGGGGACAGACCTCCTTTCACTGAGGGGCCCTTATTTCACATAACCCTCAAGCATGTCATCAAAACCTTTTGTGCTCCCGTAGCCTCTGCCACCCCAGAGCGTAGGAGCCGTAGAACAAACCAAGTCTGGCAGGGAAGCCTTTCTGTGTTGCTCCAGGCTGCTGCTGTCTCCTTGGTCCCTACAAACAAGGCTGGTCCATCCATTGTCTATCTCTTCTTTCTCCTAAAACCCTGGAGTTGCAGGCAGTGCTGACTCCCTTGACATGGGTTTCAGGGCCCAAACTTGAATCCTCAGCAAGAGCAGTAGGTGCTTTTCACCACTGAGCTCTCCTCAGCCTTCCCCCTCTTCCTTCCTTCTTCTTCTTCTTCTTCTTCTTTTTTTTTTTTTTCAGTGCTGAGGGCAAAACTCAAACCTCCTGCATTCTAGAGAAGGGCTCTACTATTGGTCGGCACCCCCAGTGCTAAACAGGTTTGCTCCTGATTTCTTTGAACAGGAAGACTTGGTTTCCTAACATCGATTAAAGGAGAACCTAGAAGGAACGGCATTTAGGATTAAAGATGGTGCTCACGTCACAGGGACCACCCAGAGCATGCACGGATCTTGTGAAAGGCTCCTGGACTCCTTTCCTCACCCCTCCTCACTACCTGTCCTTCACTCTCAGCGACTCTGACTCTCTGTTGTTCCTCTCCATTCCACCATACCCAGCTTCCCACAGCCCCAGGACCTCTGCCCATGGTGGTCCCACTGCTGGGTGCTCTGCCCTGACCCCTTTGCCCTCTGGCCCTGGGAGAGGCCACTGTGCCAGAAAATATTAGACCAGAGGCTTTGCCTTGTTGATTAGGGGTGGATTAAGATTGCCATCAAGGTTTTCAGTGAGAGAATGGAGATGTGGCGGTGGCACAAAGAGGACCTTAAGCTGCGCCTTGAATCCCAGCACTCAGGAGGCAGAGTCAGGTGGATCTCTGTGAGTTCGAGGCTATCCTGGTCTACAGAGTGAGATCCAAAACAGGTACCAAAACTACATGGAGAAATACTGTCTCAAAAAAAAAAAAAGAAGAAGAAGAAGAAAAGAAAAAGAAAAAGAGGGCCTTTATAGGAGCACCTGCTGAGACCCCATACCAGTCAGAGGGTCCTGAGTGTATGGAAAGACAGAGAGAGTCATGTGGTATGGGAATGGAGGTCAGGGTGGCCAGGCTTGAATGGCCAGTGCCTTTGGAAACAGCCCTGGGCCCTGTGTGGTGGCAGGGATACCAAGAAGGATGGTGCTAGAATATGCAAGTCTGGGCTCCGCCCTGTTGGCCAGGAAGACCAGATGGAGGGCCTGGGAACTGAGACTCTGGGGACAGCTGGAGATGGAGACTGATGGGCAGCGGCTGGAGCAGGGACACTTTGCAAGCTACGGAGATAGGTAGGTACGTATGGAGAGGAGCTAGGTGGGGTAGGGTAGATTGATGGGGAAGTGAAGCCTAGCAGGGAGCACCCCGAGTCCTGGGATAGAGGCCACTGCTGGAAATGCCACAAAGAACACTCATGGCCCTGTGGAGTCTGGATGAGGTAAGGAGGTTGGCACAAGTGGCTTGGGGTTTCAGGGGACAGGCAGCAGATACTAAGTAAGGAGCTGACCGTGTGGGAACAGAGGCAGGCGTGGCCTCCTGAAGTCACAGTGAGTGTATGGGTACAGGTGTGGGAGCCACTGAGGCTGGGCTGGTTGGCTTTCTATTCTTCTGATGGAGTCCAAAGTTGTCACAGCCTGACCTATCCCCTCTCACTTCCCTCCTCTAACTATGAGTACTCCCTCCCTCCCCTCCTCTCTAGCTTCTAGAACACTCACTAAGCTTCCTCCGACTCCAGGGCCTTTGCACATGCTAGTCCACCTTGGAGTGTTCTTCCTGGACACTGCCAGGAGCTGGAGAGACCAGGCTGCCCCTGGATGGCTCCTCTATTACCCAAGTCATTGTTTTCCTCCATCAGAGATATTTAATGTGATGTTTGCTCCCTTGCTTAGACCTGACTGCTGGAGCACTTATCTGCATAGCTCCTGTTTATTTCTTCAAGCTTGTGGGAGCCCACAAAGGTTTCCTAGTGAGATCTGAGCTTGCTTTACACAGCATGGCTGCATGAGGGGGATGGCTTGACCACGTGCATGGTCACCAGGTGTCTGGGATGGTCTGCACATGGCTGTGCTGGGGGAGGTCTTTTGCTCCACCCCTTGGCATTCCTTTAAAAAGCCCTTTAGTAGAGACAGAAAAGGCTGGTGGGTTCAGACCCAGACCCTCCCGCGGCTATCCTGTGTTTCTGTCTGTCTCTCTCCTCTATCCTTCTATCTACAAATTCCTCATTCCTCCCTGCTCAAGAGAACCCTGGGGGAAAAAGTAGGGACAGGGCCCCAACACAAGCTCACCTTCAAAATCATTTCCTCTGAGAAGTGCTGGCCCATGCAATGCAATGCTCTTCTGTTACTTGACAGTCTCCACCCTGAATTGGGTGGGGTTATGTGGACCCTCTGGGGACTAGATTTCTCTTTACTTGAGACTGAAAGCTGTGGGAGATACTTTGAGCCGAGTATCTGGTTTCTGTCACACAAGGTTCTGCACATGGGGGAAGGCAAGCTAGGGCAGCCACTGGGAGCCACTGGGAGCCACTGGGAGGCGAGGGGACTTGAACAAAGGGATAGCAGAGGGCATGGTAAGTATCAGTCAGATCCCGAGTGGGCCTCCAATGTGGAAACAACCAGCTTTACTGATATGGGAGACGCGGGAATCAGGGGCAGGGTGAAAGTTAACCCCAGGCTCAGGACAGAGCTAGCATTTGCTGTAACTGGAGCAGAGGTGTGTATGAGTCTATGTTGAATTGCTGTAATGAAATAGCTGATGCTGGGAAGCCTTATGAAGGAAAGATCTCTC